GATCTTATGTTGCAATTGCTATCTGGTTGCCCTCTTTTTTTACATGCTGGAACAGTACTCACTTCATCACCACCACCACTGTACCTCTCTATCCCACCCCACCAGGTGAATTAATCTCTCCCCACAATATTGATACTCCCTTTTATTTTTCACTCATCAGATGTGGTGTTGCTGGTTGGCCAGCAGTTTTTGCCCATCCTTAGCTGCCCTTGAGAAGGTAAGCTGTCTTCTTGAAATGCTGTAGTCCATTGCTGTAGGTTGACCCACAATGCCCTAAGAGAGGGAATTTCAGGATTTTGACCCAGCGACAGTGAAGTAATATTTCCAAGTCAGGACAGTGAGTGGCTTGGAGGGGAAATTGCAGCTGGTGGTATTCCCATGTATGTGCTGCCCTTGTCTTTCTAGATGGTGTTTAAAAGATGCTGTCTAAGGATCTTTGGTAAATTTCTGCAGTGCACCTTGTAGATAGTATACACTGCTGCTACCGAGTCTTGGGTGGTGAAGGTAGTAGATGCTTGTGGATGTGGCACCATTCAAGTGGGTTGTTTTGTCCTGGATGGTGACAAGCTTCTTGAGTATTGTTGGAGCTGCACACATCCAGGTAAGTGGATTCCATTGTACTCCTGACTTGTGCCTTGTAGATGGGGTACAGGCTTTGAGGAGTCAGGAGGTGAATTACTTGCTACAGTATTGCTGGCCTCTGACTGCTCCTTGAAGTCATTGTGTGTGTGTGTGTGTGTGTGTGTATGGCGAGTTAATGGTAACCCCCCAGGGTATTATTAGTGGGAACACCATTGAAAGTCAGGTAGCAGGGTTAGATTGTCTCTTGTCGGAGATGGTCATTGTCTGACATTTCTGTGGTGTGAATGTTACTTGTCACTTGTCAGCCCAGGCCTGGATATTTTCCAGATCTTGTTGCATTTGAACATGGACTGCTTTAGTATGTGAGGAGCCATAAATGATGCTGAACATTGTGCAATCACCAGCGAACATACCCACTTCTGATCCTATGATGGAGGGAAGGTCATTGATGAAGCAGCTAATTCTAGGATTAATTTTCCTTCCTTAAAAAAAATCAAATGTTTTCCTTGCTATCTTTTCTGCTAAAGTCTTTAACAAATCCAGAACTCCATGCTTGCACATCCATTACCTTAGTCTTTGCAATTCCCTAGCGAAATAACTTCAGGATTCTTTCTGGGTTCTGATGACTCCATAATATTGTTCTGCCCTTTCTAGAAAATCCTCCCCAGCTACAGACTCTAGTATGCACTGTCTTGCTTCTTTAATTTACTCCTACTTGTTCCAATCTCCCAACCAAAGCTGACGTTTGAGCAACTACAACCTTGTCCTTTTTAGAATTTTACTGAAGCAACAAAACATTTCTGTACCTCTAACTTGCCTTCACCTCTATTAAAGCCTATTTCTAATTGTGCCTTACGTCTCCCATTATAAATCTTTCATGTCTTGCTCAATGCCCTCGTGCTTAAGGCTCTTTGAGTTCTTTTGCATGAGGAGGCCAATATCAATATAAGTTCTTTCCTTGGAGGATTAAATAAGTATACCTGCTGGGATTCAGCTCATGCAACAATTTTCTGACTGTTGTAGGCACTGCTGAAGTTGGACAGTTACCAACTAAACTGTCAGCAGAAGCAAAATGCAATATCACTTTTCACATTCATGTCACTTGTAATACCCAGGTTGTAGGTTGTACTGATTACAATAAATTCCAATCCTAATTTAAAAGCTTTATCTTTGTTTACATGATCATCCATGGCCTCATCCCTTGCTACCATTGCAATGTCCTGCCTAAACGCTAGCTAATCATCTTTTCCTGGCCTCCTCCAACTGTGTACTTTACTTACCTTCATATCCGTCATAGGTAAATTGATCTACCAATGACATCTTAAGTCGTTATCCCTGCACCTAAACCGATTCAGCTTGCTCTCTTGAAACAAATCATTCTTTATTTGATCACTTCCCCAGAATTTTCTGTTGTTTCTCAATTCATGTTTGTCCTATGCCCAGTGCTGTAGGGCATTGAACAGTGATAAGTAATTGAGTAGAAATACAGAATGCTATTAAAGTTAGAAGCCAGTTTTAGTCAGTCATCTGCTTTGTTTTTACTCCCACTTAATAGGGTTAGTTTTGCCTATTGAGTTCTTTGCCATCCTAAAAAGAATTTGCTGAATATACTTTTTGTGCTAATTCAGTCCCCTGTAAAAACATGTTCCTCTTAAGAGTGTTTCAGTGTTACTAAACAGAATTGTGAATTTTTCATTAGTATAGCCCATTAATATTGTTTTATGATGCTGTGTAATCAGCGTTTCAATAGCACCTGTATTGCATCTACATTTCAGAAAAGCTGTCTGAGTTAGTTGTGACAATCTTTGGACTTGTTCCTAATGTAGTTCATAATGACACAGCTGAGAACTGTGTGTACAAGACAAAGACTACCATTTCCTTGTGATGTGGATAAAGTTACAGTCAAACACTAGGCCCCAAATGCCTGCTTTTACTACTCGCTGATTTTTTTTTTGGGGGGGTTGCGTGTGGTATAGCTCTTATTATGTGTTGTGTAAATGAATTAAATACAGGCTTTTGCACTAAGCCTCCAATAAAGCAAAAGAAGTAGTTGTGTTCATTAGCCTTTTAAGAGAGTATAAGCAAATAACACATGCAAAAAAACAAAAGAAGAGAGTTTCAGTACATTATATGCACATCAGATATAGTTCACATTTAGTTCTCTTATGGACATGTCCCATTTGATGGATTTCTGATGAGATCTTTTGCCCTGGGACTTCTAGAAAGCAATGGCAAGTAAAGGAGGGGGTGTCCTGTAATAATCTGCTACTCAGACCTCTGCTCGTCAATATCTCAAATCAACAACCGATTAGGTTGTTGACAAGTTAGCCTCTGAGCACATACTGAGGTAAGTTTGGTTAACAGTGTGTATTTAACTGGAGTGGCCTTGATTAAATTTCATTTTAAGCATCATTGACAAAGCAGAAGGAGTTTAGTTATATTCCAGTCTGAAAGTGAGGTGAATTTTGAGTAGATATTGCTGTTTCATAGTACACTTTGTTTACAAAATCAGATAATTCTTAGAATAAAATCTTAAGAGTGAATGAGATTTGTTGAAGATGTTATTATTTACTTTTCTTTCACTGTAAAGAAATTAAAATCCTTGTGCTTCTCATCTTGGATATATTCCAGATTGAAAACAAAGAGAGACTTGTACTTGCGTTGTGCTCACTACAATCACCGGACACTCATGAAAAATAAATTGTAGTCAACGTTGTCATATAGGAAAAGCGACAACCAATTTGCAGGCAGCAAACTCCCTCAAACAAAATGCGACCAGTTCTGAGGAAGGGTTATTGGACCCAAAACATAAATGCTGATTTTTCTTCACAGATGCTGCCAGACCTGCTGAGCTTTTCCAGCAACTTTTTGTTTTTGTTCCTGATTTACAACATCCGCAGTTCTCTCGGTTTTTATTTAACAAGTGATAATGACCAGATAATCCGTTTTTGTGATGTTGATTGAGGGATAGCAGTTGCCAAGACAGTGAGGGTATCTCTTTTTGCCCTTCATGGGATCTTTTATACCTATCCAAGTGGGCAGATGGGGCCCCAGTTTAACATCTCATTCCAAAGGCAGCACTTCCAACAATACAATAGTCTCTCACTGTTGCACTGAAAGGTCAGGTTTGATTTTTGAGGTCAAACCTTGGAGTGGGACTTGAACTCCACACCTTGTGACTGAAGTAACTGTGCTTTATATTCTAATCAACCGGTTTTTAGAGATGTTATTATACATGTTTGAGCTGGTGAGACTTAAACCTAGTCTTCCCGGCTCAGAGATAGGGACGCTACTACTGTACGACATGAGCCCTAGTAAGTGTGCTCTGAACTGAATCATAAACTGTTATCACCTGCTTCCAGAATTGGCTCCTAGGATAAATTTATTGCTGGACACGTTGGGAATGAAAACTGAACTACTCGCCAAATCCATTGCATAGAAACTACTCCAAGTTATCTCTGCTAATTCCAGCCTCATTAATTTAGAAGTGAGGGGTATAATCTACAGATTTTTTTGTCTTCATTTAATGAAGTATTTGAAAAAAAAGACAGATGCCAACAGATGCGAGTATTATAAGCACAGTGATATATATATAAAGCATATAGCTTGATAACTGTGCAATGTTGCTTGTAAAACTGAAATCTACTTCATTATTGCAGCTAGTTTTATAATTATTTGTGTGTTTGGATTGATTACCTTTTCTTAAAGGGAAGAAAGTTCCTTTTTAACTACAAGGCTGAAGTGTTGTAATGTACTGCTATAAACCTAAATGTCTCATTGATATCAGGTTCAAAGTTCACGCATGAACACATTATTACGATATGGGCGTAGCTTTGTATATAAAATAAAGTATTTTAAGTAAACTTTCCGACAGTTCCAAAGCTGAAACTGAAGCTTTCCATATCAGAGAGAACTTAACCAGTTGTTTCACAAAAAAATTACACAATCATAATTTGAAAGATACAGATGAGGAGAGGCATGTCCTGGTTGGTTGTCTGTGAAGCTTCCTGTTTTTGCGGTTATATTCTTTTGTTAGGTGATTTCTGACGTAAACTGGTTGCTATGAGATGTACTGCAGAGGGATCCAGATTCTACATATTACTTGCCAAATGGGATCCAGGTGGAGCAGGTGACTTAAGACCTACACAAACAGAGCAACCTAGCAATTGATAACCCTTTCACTACCAGATGCTGGCTTCGTTCATTTTAATTCATCAGTCAGAACTCTTTACCTTGATTTGGGAGTAGTCTAGTGATCCATGTGTCCCAAAAATTCACCTAAAACAATGACTCCCCTTACCCAGCAAAGCCCCCCAACACACCCTCACACTCCCTCTCTCACACTCCCCCCAACTCTCCCCAAGTTCAGGCAGAGGAGAAGGTAAGGTGAGCAAATACATGCTGTTTAGCTTCTGTACTCTGTCACCTGAAATTGTCACTTAAACGGCAGGAAGGTTGGCTGTCTCAGGTGGGTGAGTCTTGTTATGTCATTGGTGCTTCAGTGCCATTTTAAAAGAACAAAGGTTTTTGGAGATCTGCACTGAATCAAATTCAAGAGTAAAACTTGATAGAAATTGGTAAAGCTCAGTGTATGAATAAACTTATGGATTCTTTATGGGCTCCTGGAGCGGGAGCCAAAAGATCCTTGACTTTCTAAGTAACTAGCATACCTATCTGTATCTCTCACTCTGTCCTCCCTCACCCCCATTAACCATCATGCTTATCCATAACAAATGTGTCCCAAGTTAAAAGCAAAACTATTACTTCTTAAATCAGCACCACTCCTTTGCCATCTTGATTTTAAGTAAATTGTTTTCTTTTAGCACAATTATGGAACCCATTTTAGTTCAGGCATCAGGCAGAAAAAGATCTCTCATTTTGACCAAATCAAAACACCTTGTTTAAGAGATACAGCCATCCAGCATCTATGTGTCAATGCTTAATGGGTTGCTAAGCCTCCAATATAGTGGGAAGAAAGCACATGCTCATTACAATAACTTCAATTTATGTAGCAGCTTTAATTTATCCAAAGTGCTTTACATGAATAAATGTGCAACAGAATTTAACACCAAACCATGTAATGAGATATCAGGATTAGTGTGATATGGTTTAAGCCACATCTTAATGGAGAGAGAATCAGCGAGGTTCAGGGAGGGCTTTCAGGAGGTTCAGACCTTGGCAATTGAAGGCATCATTGTCATGGGTGGAGTCAAGAAAATCAGATGCGCGAGAGGTCAGATTTGGAGAAGTCCAAATGTCTCAGAAGGTTGGAGGGCTAGACTATTGCTGGGCGGGTGGCTGTCGGCACTGTTGGCTCACCTCAATGGGAACATGTCGACACCCTAATCAGCAAAATTTGCTCCCACCACTTCTGAATCCTGCAAAAGGTTTGAAGATTTTGCCTGTTGCGAGCAATAATTTGTATATTAAATAAACGATAGCCATTATGGTTCAACCAGTTTAGTGAAAACAAAACACTTTTAAAAGCAAAAGATTATTTTGGGTGCAGTTTTAGTTAAGAACTCTTTACACAATTAGAATAATAGCTACCTTGGCATTTCAAAACAAATTTGAAGCTGAAGAAATACTAGTCATGAATTCCATTCATCTTTTTTAAGCTCACTTGCTATAAGCTAATTTAACCTCTTGTTGGTTTGGAATATTTAAAACTACAGCCACTATTTTTTGCTATCTTATGCATGGTCTAGTGTTTGATTGCTGTTTACTGGTGCTGCTTGGTGATGCAGCATGTCAACTGTCTGCCTCTGAATTTTTCTTTGTCCTTTCACATACATTCACACCAAGATTTTTTTATTCCTTATTTTCTTTTCCCTTTTTGCATTATGGTATAAACCCCCTTATATGCACATTTTTTTGCTTCATAGGGCAGAGATTCCCAGTCAGATTTTTGACTCCTGTCTGCTACCTCTACTAGTATAATAAAAGTGTGAAAAGAGCGTCCTTCAAGGACGTAAAAAGATGTAACATGTGAATGCTTATGTTCATTTTATTGTTATGGAAGGATATTTTCCACCTATACTTTTACTTATTTGTGCTCTTTAGTTTTGCCTTGTCAAGTTTCTCCCCATAGCTCTGAAGGCATCAAGACTTCTTTGGAGTCCATTCAAGTGTCCTGGATGTCTTTCAATACCTCATTGGCACTGTTCACTTATGACCTTCAACAGTGATATTAACAGTTTACATCATACGTAATTATATCAGAATCTAATACTAGTTTCCACTGGATTAACAAGCCAAGGTGTTAAGGCATGTTTCAGTCCTGTTCTGTTCACATCTTTTCCATACCTTGCACCACTGTAGACTGGTTATGGATCATGAGTCCCCCATGCCCTAAGCTTTCAATAATGTTGCCACCAGGAGATTTGCTTCTGACCTCTGGTTTTCTATCTTCCCACTTGGAAAGAACACTGGGGCTTCTCCACGGCATACAAAAGTAGTACTCTTGCTCTGACATCAGATTGATAGAGTTTTATGTTGAAGTCCTCATGCACTATAAGCTAGTAGGTTATCCTCCTAAGTTTTTTACTTATTTATGCTTGTGCGCAGCATATTGACCAAGCATATGAGGTACCCATTCCCATCAGACTTCAGTGAGAACTTATTTCTTTTCTTGATATATCTCTGGATGCTTCTTCTGGAAAGTGGGTTGATGTCCTGAGATCATAGATCTAAAATAATTGGCAAAAGAACTTGGAGGGAAATGAGAAGAATATTTTAGACTTCGAAGTTTGTTGAGATTTGGAACATGCTACCTTGAAGAGGACTAATTCTAAGGCTGATGAGGAGAAGCTGAAAAGTAGAACTAAATTAGACAGCTCTTTCAAAGAGTATGATGAGCTGAATGATATTTTCTGTGCTCGGATGTTCTACGATTGAGGCGGCGGCATAGGAAACCGTGATACCTATGTTTTTCCATTTTGAAAGATTATTATGTACGTATGGTAGCTCCTAGAATTTTAAGTAAAGGGTGTTATTCCATATCATTAACATGATAGTATCCAAATCCAGAATTAACTCAAATATCCATCTCAATCAGGCCCTGAAGTAAAACCTAATTTAACGAGTTCTGTGAGACTAGCTCCACAGCAGAAAATCGCCTTCAGAATAAACATAGTATACTTTTTAAGCAGTAAAATGAAAGACAATGAAATAAATGGAGCAGGAATACAGCCAGAAGTCAAAAATTCATTATTTTACTTTAAAAGGCAGATCACAGTTGTTTGTGCATATCAGCTAAATTCCAATTTCATTTGGTCTAAGCTCTGCTTTTCCTTAAAATGTAGCTGAATCTATTGCTACATTTTAACTGTGTGTGGCCTGGAAGGTCACTGGCTGTTGTAGAAAGGTTTCTAATAGTTCTGTGAGATGCTGCTGGGCTATAAACCCCCCCTAAGCCCACCCACATTTGTGAAAACTTTGGCTGTTGCAGTTGTGCTCTCATGTTGACAAGTTGTGTTGTGGAGTATAAACAAGGATCTTATTGCAGTGTTTTACCCTTTAAGATATCCCTCAAAGCAAATACATGGAAATCCTTTTAACCCTCAGTTCAATGAGTTGGAATTCCATACTGTATTCTGTAGGATAGCGCACCATAGAGTGGATGGGCAGGTGTATACACTCAGTACTTCATATTTGGCCCCTAATGCAACCAGACCTTTGGTAGGTGCCTAGATAACTGCTGACTAGGGAGGAAGATCAAAGGGATCATAAACTACTTAGCATTGCTGTACCCTTCTGGGAGCTGAATTCCAAGTGATGTGTGAAGGGGCAGGTTACTTGCTCAGTTTCACCCGCCTGCACTCCTAGAAACTCAAAAGAGGAAGAATAAGGAAAGCACCTTTTGGAAGGTTAAGTATTATGCTTGGAAAAAGGCAGCATATTCCCTATCCAGGACTTGTTACCTCCAGATTCATACACTTCAGCACTGTCCTGATCTGTCTCTCACCTGCCACTTACTGTAAACTTGAAATCAAGCAACACACTACTGCCTGTATCTTAATTCACCCATTTATCATTGCCCATGTGCTCATACATCACTCCTGTCTGTGATCTACGAAGGCACCTGCAATGTCTGCATCTTAAAATGACTATCCTTGTTTTCAGATATCTCTAATCCTCACTCCTCCACACGTCTGTAAGGTTCTCCAGCCTGATAACTGTGAAATTTCTGAGCCCCACCATTTTTGACCCTCTTGTGTCTCTCTGAGTTCTGTCACTCAACAATTATTGCGGCTATGTCTTCAGCTGCTTAGATCGTAAGATTTGAAATTCCCTCTCTATACGTCTCTGCCTCTCTACTTAAAATGTTCCTTAAAATGTAATTTTTTGACCACGCTTTGGTTACCTTACCTAGTATATCTTTACATGAGTCAGAATCACATTTTCTTTTCCAAATGAAACACTTTGGAACACTTGATGTACCACAATTTTCTCATAGTTAAAGTATCCTAGTCAGAATGAGTTGTTGCATGAGTCATATATTGCTGCTAAATTCCAATGCTATCATTCATAGTGCGAAACTGACCAAAGTAGTATTAAATCTCAAGGAAGCTGTGCATTCATGTGGAAACTTGGAGGTATTTGCATTTGTCAAAATTAGACTGTTGCTAAAATAAATTTCATGCAAAAACAGAAACTCACTCCAAACCCATTGAATTGAGCAAACCTGTTTTCTTTACCACAAAGCACTTGGATTCAGTCTACATATCTTTCATAAATAAAATTTACTGGCTCTGGAGCAGGACAGGGCTGGGCACATGGAAACTGAAATCTGTCATTTCTGTGGAGGACCTGTTTAACAATGTAGTCCTCAGGTTTTTTTTGGAAGAAATGAGCTGTATCTGTAGCAACAGTTTGGATTTGACAACCTAAATTTGTGACGTCCTGACAAGTTATTCACAGCCTATCTACAAGTGATTTATATGCCTCTTCTTTTGTGCACTGTTGTTAAGATATTGGACTGGAATAAGTGTGGATGTTGTAAGCTACTATGATGACTAAACAAATCCTAACCAGAGGGAGAAATATTAAGATTACATTAAGGTCATTTGTATAAAATAACCATGCAATAACAAAATGTAAAACCCTGTGGCTGAAATTATGTTTCATACCTTTCTTTCGTCCCTTGTTACCTCTAGGCTTAACTATTCCGTTGTACGTCTGTCTGGTCTCCTACATTCTATCTCCCTAAAGTTGAGACCATTTAACTTATTCACCTCGCACCCCAGTGCCCATTGATTTACACTGGCTCCTGGTTGAGCAACATTTTTATTTTACTGCTCTCATCCTTGTTTTCAGTTCCCTCCAATGCCTTATCATTCCCTGTCTCTGTTCAGCTGTAGCTCCTCCAAGCCTCTGGAGATATCTTTGCTCATCTAATTCTGTCTTTTGAGTGGCTGTAGTTTTAATTGCTCTGCAGTTGCAAAAGCCATAATCTCTGGTATTTCCTTTTTACATCTCCCTGCCTCTGAAGCTTTATTTCCTCCTTCAAGGCTCTCTTAAAACTTCTACTACTTTGAATAAGTTTTATGTCATCAATGTGGTTTGATGTCATATTTTGTTTGCAATGTTTCTGTGAAGCACTTTGTGATGCTTCATTGAGTTAAAAGTGTGACATAAATGTAAGTTGTTGCATGATTTATTTGGCCTGGTTTTGTCCCCTCATTCACTCAGCACTATAACGTCAAATGTCGCATTTGAAAAGTGCTTAACAAGTACTAAGTATTTCAGAAGTTCAACTGTTTAGAAATATGTATTGCTATCACAGCCTGCAAAACATGACTCAATTAAAGATAGTAGGAACTGCAGATGCTGGAGAATCCGAGACAACAAGGTGCAGGGCTGGATGAACACAGCAGGCCAAGCAGCATCATAGGAGCAGAAAGGCTGACGTTTCGGGCCTAGACCCTTCATCAGAAAAG